TTTTGTTTTGAATTATTTTTTTGAAATTATTTAATTCTTTGTTTTTAACACAAAAATTTCATTTTTATGATTCATCAAATTTTCAATTTGGGTTATTGCTGTGGAAAAAAAAACGCGTTTTCATTCATTTCAAAAAATATATTAAACTAAGCGGTTTTTGTTTTATTTTTTAGTTTTACGATTTTTCACTTTTTCTGATATTTCTTATTAATATTATCTTATTTCGTTCGTTTTTCTTTTATTTTGAATTATTTTTAGAAACAATTTGAGAAATTATCTAATTTTGTTTTTAACACAAAAATTCCATTTTTATGATTCATCAAATTTTCAATTTGAGTTATTGCTGTAGAAAGAAAACGCGTTTTCATTCATTTCAGAAAATATATGAAACTAAGCGGATTTTTGTTTTATTATTTTTTTATTTTTCAGTTTTATATTCAAACATTTTAGTATTAATATGATTTTATTTCATTTCTTGTTTTTTGTTTTGAATTATTTTTTAAGAATTCTTTGTTTTGACATAAAAATTCATTTTTATCATTCATCAAATTTGCAATTTGGTTTATTGCTGTGGAAAGAAAACGCATTTTCATTCATTTCAAAAAATTTATGAAAAAAAGCGGTTTTTTGTTTTATTTTTCAGTTAGACTATTTTTTATTTTTTTTGTTATTATTATTTTATTTCGTCTCTTTTTCTTTTGTTTTAAATCGTTTTTTACAGTTTGAGAAATTATTTAATTTTTTTGTAATGGTTCCCTTTTTCTCTTTTCTCCAAGAAAAAAAAAAACGAAAAAGTTGTAAATAATAGCTGTGTTTGGAGTTTGTCAATTTATTTTATTGTCAATTCTTCTGTAATTATTTTGTTGGCATTTCTGTTATTTTTTTGCATTTAAAAGTGTCTTTCTTATATTAATATATTTTGTTTAACTTCCTTTTTTTCAAATTATTGACTAACTTTGGACATTTCAACTATTTCTTTGTTAAGATTTTACATTTCGGCATATTTTTTTTGTTTTTATTTGTTTTTTAGAAACAATTTGAGCTAACATTGAAATAGTTAGTTCTAGTCAGTTTTGCGTTTTCACTTTTTTCGTCTTAATATTTTTCTTTTTCTTTACTTTGCACAAAATGTGTGTTTTCACGAACAATACTATTAATTTGATTAATTATTATTTAATTATTTTCTCTACTGTTTAAACCGGTTTGTTCTTTTTTACTTATCTTGCTATAGTTTTTTCAACTTCTTTTACTATTTTGTTATTATTGTTTTTTATTTATTGTGTAAAATTTGTGCTTTTACAAATAAGATTTTTTGGCTTATGTGGTTAATATTTATGAAAAAATGTGTTTTTATCGTTTTTTTGTCTTTTTATTTTGTATCTTTTCCTTTCGCTTCCAAATTTTGTTAAAAATTTGTATTAAAATGAAAATAATCGAAGTTAAGAAAAAAAAGTTCCAAAACAAAAGTGAATAAAAATCTTTCAAATTTTAATTGTCATTTTTTTAAATTATTTTGTTAACGTTATTGACAAACTTTGGACATATTAAATTGCCATTTTTCCCCGCTTTCTAGATTTACTTAAAAATCTGTATTCGAATAGAAAAAATTGAATTTAAAAAAGAAAAAAAAAAAACAAAAAACAGTTTTTTAAATAGCATTTGTCTCATTAAGCGGTTTTTTTAACAAAATAAGTAGTTTCTGTTCTTTTGGAATATAAAGCCTGTTTCAAAATGACGACCCCAAATAATTTGGTTGCTAGGTAATAGTTCATAATTTTATTTATTTATTATGATAAATTTTAAATAATGAATGAAATCGAAGAAAAAATATTATAAAAACGTATTTTTTTAGAATGTGATGAAATATAATGTTGAAGAAAGATTATTTTTTATTTTCTCTTTTAACATGAAATAAATTAGATATGCCTTAGGGAGGAAACTTATTATTGTAATTCAATGTTCCAAAAATATACTAAATGTGTGATTTATTTTTAACTGAAGGGAATTATTGTTCAAACAATTTTTTGTAGTGTTTATTATTAATAAATATTTTATTAATATTAATTCACAACCTGGATTTTTTACTCTTTCAAGTATAAAAAAACCAACTTGAAGGTAAAAATTAAGTTAAAAAAATATTTCAAAAAGATAAACACAATTTCGATCTAATTTTGCAATTTTCTACCTTATTTTGTCAGTTTTTTGCAATTATTTATTTTTTTAGTGAAAAAGCTGCCAAATCCACATAGAGATAAGCAAAAATACTGGCACTTCAGAACAATCAAGTATGCAATTTTTTGCTTTGCTTTTTCAAAAGTTTTTTTCGATTTCAGTTATTTTTAATTTTAAATTTATAAGAGTAGGCAAAAATAATAAATTTTCAGATTTAATTTTGCAATTTTCCACTCTTCTGAGGCAAAATCACTCAAATTTTTAGGTTTTTTTTGGTAAAAACGCTCTAAAATTATTAAAACAAGAAAAACGACACTTTCTGGATCTAATTTTGAAACTTTCTTATTTATTTATCCAAAATTGTTTGAATTTTCTGATTTTATTGATTAAAACTCTTAAATTCAGAAAGAACAACGCAACTTTCGAATTCGCTTAATTTTTTGGTATAAAATATTAATTTACACCCTGGATTTTTTTATAAAAAACGCTTAAAAATATTTCTATTTATTATAAAAAAAACAAGCAAATCTAAACATAAAAAATAAAAAAAAATATTAGGAGCAATATAAAATGTGTTCTAAAATGCCGTCTCATATAATTTCAGTTTCAGTTGAATTTATTGTTGGTTTAGTTTCTATTCCCTAGCAACTATCACCGAAATAATCAAGTTGCTAAGAAACAAATACTATTATCTAGCAACTAATATTTTTTTAATATTTGAGATTCTACAAGAACAGTTGATATTTTTTGCATCTGTTTGTTGCAACATCCATTATTATAGAATATTAATTAGTTATAGTTTCAGGATGTTTCAGTTTTAGTTCTTGTTTTTGATTGCGATGAAATACATCCATTAGTTCTGAAATTATGCAAAAATCGATTGTTGATAAATAAGTGTTAATGTGTTTAGAAAAAAAAAAAAAACGTAAAAATAGCATTTTCGTGACCTATTTCTTGTGTTGTTTTTAATTTAAAAACTGATTTTGCACCACCTGTGGACATTTCCTGCTACATAATTATTTTTTGTGTCAACAAACCAATTAATTTCTTGGTTTATC